AGTAGTTAGTTAAGTTAAAGTTAAATTACTACTTAACTAACTAACTACTACTATAGTTAGTTTAGTTAGTTAATTAATAATAATTACTACTACTACTATACGTATATATATATATATATATATATATATATATATATCTACTCAAATGCATTAGCCTATTAAAGACACTTCTAACAATTGCCACTATCCCTTTTTTAAACCTAAATTACTGCAGTAAATGTTGTGAAAAATGTGTGTAAATTTTGTACATTTCTCCCAATTTTCAACCTACCACTGAGTGATGTATAGACTTTTCCTTAGTAAACTTGTACAAATCCCTATATGAATACAAGGTTACTAATTATATAACCATAATCTACATCTACTCTCACATGCTATGACATGTACGTAAACCAGTGGAACTGGTTCACAAGAATACAATTCATGTGGGCAAACAATGTAGCAACACAGTTGGCTCAATTTCAAATATAAGCACCCTAACATCACCGGAGTTTTGCCTCCTCTTCTTTTTCGTTTCTAAACATTTTTAAAGTCTACAAATTCAGTATTTACATCTCCAACTATGCTAAGTTTGTAAGTGATACATGTACATTGATAACAATGATATTTTCAAAATTTTCAAGATATAAAACTTTAGGCACAACATGTAATTTACACTGATTACTAAAGATTGAATACGGGTATTTACTCAAATCTACAAATGTGAGATGAAAATTAAGAAGTTTGAGAACTGAAACTGAAACTTTCTGTGAAATCCATAAGAAAAAGAGGCCAATATTTTCACCACTAGAATAAATCTATCATCAAAGTACAAGCCAGAGGTGTTGTCCATTTTATGAATTCTGGTAAATGTTAGTCACAAAAAGATGTTTCACCTGTCTAAAAACTCACTGAAATAAAAAAAAATGTTGACAGTGTACACAAATACATTAATTAATTGTACACTTTTTTTACCAAGACAAACACATTAGCCTACTATCAACATGCACAAAACCATGTGTCTACATGGTCAACTTCTAAAACTACAACTTCAAAATATCAAAATATTTTAAGTAATGTTTTATTTCCCCATTACACAAGTTTAAATGCACTGTCTGTCACATTCATGACTAATTTGAACTTCAATTTCTTTAACATTTAAACATCAGCAGTTAGACAGTCAAGTATCAACACTATGGCCAGACAGTCAAATATAAAAGTACATAAACTTTGTATCAATTCATCCTTACACAGTCATAAACCTTATCAAAGATTTAATGATAACACTCATGAGCTAAGCTTCAAACCATTCCAAACCCACTGTAATGAGCACGAATGCACTATACATTTCACACACAGCAGTCACACAAATATAAAAAAATGTACATGTTCACGTACAACAGAAATCATGCACTTTTTTTTTCATATTATCAACTATATTAACAAGTCTAAAGTACAACACATGAAACAATAATAAAAAGTCTAACCTACTATGATTTCTTTTCAGGCACATTGTGTTACTATATTCAAAAAAAATCTGATGCTTTTTGGGAACAATAAAAGGTAATCTTTATTATTAGTTACAGCTGACTAGTTCATAGTAACTGTGTTACCAAAACTAGTCGGCTGTAACTAATAATAGAGTTTACCTTTCATTATTCCAAAAATTGTTGGGTTTTGTATTTTATATTCTTAATCTGACTTGCTAGTTGATAATACCACAGCATGAATTTGCATATGGACAAGATGTACCTCCCACACTTTCTTTTTGAATTGTATTCATTAATCAAGCAGTTCTGAAGAGATACTAGGATTTAAACTAAGTCCAAAATAACTCTGTGTTATAATTCTAATATCAAAAATTTAATTCCAATTTAGCAATATTAACTGAAAAATTCTGTACGATAAATTAACATGTAATAATTAATTGATTTAACTTGTGACATTATTTTTAAACTATGCAGCATCTATATAAATAATTTCTGCTGTTTAACTCAAATGCTAGTCGTATCATTTTTATGGTATTTCACTGTTGATCACATTATGTTTGTACTGACGCTTCAAGAAACTTCTCTTACTTACTGACCACATGAGGGGTAATGGACTGACACTTCAAGAAACTTTTCTCACTTACTGACCACATGAGAGGTAATGGACTGACACTTCAAGAAACTTCTCTCACTTACTGACCACATGAGAGGTAATGGTACATGACCCGAGTTGTTGTGTTAAAACAAATGCTATTTGCATCAAGTTCTCTTATGAGTGACAGTTTTCTAAGCTTATGACTCAATATTATTAAGAAAAATATATTGTTGGTGGTAGAATTTATTTTCAAAAATATGAATCTGCTATTAAGCTAGAAAACTGCAATACCAACAGTTTCTATGGCAAAAGAAAAGGTGTATGTGGGGTGTAGGGGGGGGGGGGATCATTATAATTGTGGTGACAGCCATTTTACTTAATCACTATATGGTGACTGTTTTTGGTAGAGATTTTCCTACGTCTCAGAGGTTTGCCATGCAAGGCAAGTCTGGAAGTTAGTATTAAGGAAACTAACAGTACTAAAATAATTATATTAGAACTTACTTTAACTTAAATGAATGCAGTTAATCTTCACTCACAGACACAGCACCATATATTATAGGTTCTTAACACTAGGCATCCTACAAAACCAGTTTAAAGCAAAGTGCAGGTCAAAACCAAGCCTTTTAAAAGACACAGTCTTCCTTGAATTTGTGGAAAAAATCAAACTAATTATATACTGCATAGTTTAATGAGGAGACACTACTCAAGGCAGCTCTCAAAGAATAACTATTATATTGTAGGATAGTAATCATCATAATCTGTTTGCTTTGAGTTATTTAACAGTGATCAATTTGAAAGCTTGTAATCAAATTATGTATGAATTTTCTAATGATATAATTGTAATAATCCTAGTATAGAAGATTTTACTTACTATATCCAGCAAAACAAAAACTTTCAAGCATTCTATATATGAGTATCAAGAGTAAATGCATAAAGTTCTACAAAATTTACAAAGCCATACCTTAAGTTCCTTTTTAACTTTTTCATTCAGCCTACTCTTCTATGTAGCAGCATTGCAAAAACATTATACAAGCACAGCTACACTCAAAGTAAAATTCTAAAAAACAAAAATGTCTTAAAAACACTAAACTTCCTGCCTTTTCACAGTCAAGACTAGTTTTAAAGTAAATAGGGATTGATTATCCTACCACTATTTATCCTTTTTTTCTAATATCATTTTACAATTACAATTATGGCACAACCCACTTTTTCTTTCTTATGTATATACCCTGTTCAAACTCACCGAGACCCAAATGTTCCTTTCACTCAACAAAAAATACTGAATAACACACACTTGAGACCAACCACTACAAGCAAAAACATACTTGTAGGTATGTCCACACACATATTCAGTGAAAATATATACTTGTTTGACTTTTTGCTGGCTTTAATGTTTTAATATTTACTACATTCATCTTAACAGAGAAGCTCCTGTTGTACTTTAAAAACAGTCAGTAAACAGAAGAACAAACAAATACTTTCAACATTTAGATTTTGCATCATTAAAAACTTTTAGACATTCTACTCTACAAACATGTTATTTATATTTTTTATTATAATTAAATATTAAGCCTTATTAATATACTAGTACCTAAACATATCCTTATATCTTTCATACAGCTGGTTTCACACAACATTCGTAAAATATTCAGCCAATTTTACACAAAATTCTTATAGCACTTTGGTGATTTTGCATAAAATTCTAAATACACATTCTGATGGTTTCACACAACATTCTTAATACAACCCGATGGTTTCAAATAATATTTTTAACACATACAATGGATTAACACAGCACTCTTGATCAAATCTGATGGATTCACACAGCACCCTTAACCCAATCTGATGGTTTTTCACAACATTCTAAATACAGTTTGATGGTTTCACAGAACAATTTTTACACAATCTGTTGATTTCAAATAATATTCTTAACACAATCGGATAATTTCATTCAACATTCTTAACACAATGTGCTAGTTTCAAACAACATTCTTAACACAATCTGAAGGTTTTGCACAACATTCTAAATACAGTTTGATGGTTTCATACAACAATTTTTACGCAATCTGTTGATTTCAAATAATATTCTTAACACAATCTGAAGGTTTTTCACAACATTCTAAATACAGTTTGATGGTTTCACACAACAATTTTTACACAATCTGTTGATTTCAAACAATATTCTTAACACAATCTGAAGGTTTCACTCAACATTCTAAGTACAATCTAAAAGTTTCACTCATCATTCTCAATACAATCTGGTATGTAAAAGGATGTATGTTAATCTGTATTAAACTCATTACTTCCTATTTTTCAAGTAGTTTATATGTGCTAATGATTAAAAATGTAATTAACTTCCAATCAGAGCAAGCTACCAACTTAGTTTATAAAAGCAAATAAGAATCAACCCAGTAATGAGTATAGCTAATTAAATATACATCCTTACTTATAAAGATTAGAATGAAGTGTTTCATCAGTTGGGCACCCTCACTGGTAATAGTATTTTTAGTCATAAACTCAATGATTTACAAAACCTCTGTATATTATTCTCTTCAAATATACACCTGACCTTATTTTTAATTGTCTTTTCTTTGTACTAGTTAATTTGATTTTGATGTACACATGCTAATACCACTATTTACATCATCATTATGTTATTTTCTTAAAGAAACACAGATTTAAAGCAATAAGCTGTAGTAGCTGCATCTTTTGTTGCTCTTTTGTTCACAAAAGCAGATTTCTCACACAACCATTGAAGATAGATTTGTAGCCTGCATAATTATAAAGCAAATTAATTAAAAAAATTTATCAGAATGCACAATCATCATTTCTCTCATATTCCTAATCATACCTCTTTACAGTATAGTTAATAGAAAAAACACGTAGTCAAGATCTTCATTATACTGTATACTCAGACTTCAATTTTGTTATATTACAGAATGATGATTTAAAAAAAGAACAACTTTAATTACATATAATAATTCTAATATAATGATAAAACCAACTACACTAACTTCTGTGAAAATGTAATGTTCTACACAATGTGGTAAACATCACAAAAAAAAAAGATGACAGGGATATCACACAAGAAATATATATATGCGTGTGTATGTATATATACATATATATACACACCACATCATTCAAAAATGTCCACTAAAACAGTACATCAATCCATTTTTATTACCACTCCAGCTAACTAAGTTGAGGATTCAGCTGACAGAGGATGGACAGCACCATTTCTCTCAATGCTTGAGGTTTACAATATTCCTCCAACCAGCTGAAAACACATCCAGAGAGTTCTTGGAAGTTAGCAACTGAAATGGAGGAGTTGAACGACTGGAACAGTGAATCACAGATTGCCTGAAACTGTGTAAACAAAAGCATGGTTTGTTAATTGACCTACAATTAGCTTTATAAATATCTAGAGAAAATACTGATTTGACAAGAAATAGGGCTCTTTACAGAAGTTTAACTACTTTAAAGTAAACTTATTCTAATTACAATAAAAAGTCTAATAGAAAATTAAGATAATAGAGGAAATTTAATACTATATGTTAAGAATTTTCTGGCAAAAAACAGCTTAATTTCAGTATTATAAAAATATTTTTAGAAAGAAAAGCTTGTTTTTGGAATTTTTGAAAGTGACATCTAGGTTTATGGAATTTTAAAAACATGTAACTGCATATATAAAACAAAGCATTTTAATTATTTACAGTGAGTTGAGTATGCTATGTTAAAAATGTTTTTAATTATAAAAGTCCTGTGACAATCACAGTTGATATTGCTTTTGGAAAGAATAAGTAACAGCCCTTTCTGACACAAAATATTCATACATTCAGATCATAAAGATGTGTTCAAATCAGACGTTTAGAACTTGTAAGATGGGGAAATCCCTTCTACATAATAGAATTCAAAAACAAAGAGAATATGGAGCAACCTGAGGCATTAGGACCACCCAGAAAGAGACCTGCAATAAGTCATATCCCAGCCATGGTAATCAAAGTGCTGTGTCTTGTAACATGTGAGAATCCACAAACACAAAGGTCTGTGGCAAAAGCTGTCCATGTGCCCCAGGCAACAAAATCCAACATAATCAAGAAGGACCTCTATCTGGAAATGAAACCAACAGGGTATGAGCTCAAAAAGGTACATTTCAATTTATACTTCCTATTCAACTATTGCTTTCCTCTAGTGGCTAGAATGCAAGAAATGAGTATTCATACTATTTCTTACAAAAACATGCCAGTCAAGTCAGTGGCACCAGTGAATTTGTATGTGATCAGACTGTTGAAATGAGTGGTTGGAAACCTTCTTCTTTGTACACGATATGGATTATAGAACTCAAGCAGGAAAAAAAATGAAGTGTTTTGGACATAACAGGCTTATGACAGAGCCTTTTACAATGGAATCTAAGCTGCAAAACTATTGTTAAAATACAAAAGTGCCAGGTAACATAACCATACATGGCAACATGGTGAGGCTCCAAAATCATTTTAACATAGAATAGTCTAAATCTATATAATATGTACCGAAGCTGCCAAGAATAGCCGTTATAAAATTAAAGTTATTTCATACACATAGTTTATTGTCATCTCAATTTCTCTAGTTCTGATTATAAAGATTCTTACACACACATCATTTTAATAATATCAGTTATGTTGAAGTTATAACACACTAGGTAACAAAACATGAACAAAAAAATTCTGTTCACTGAACGTGAGATCCGTACCCAAGAATGCATGTAGCATTAAAGTAGACAAAATGTTTACAACAACAACTACAAAATGCCTTCTCTCTATAGCACTCATCAACAAAAGTATTTTTGAATATATCAATAAAGTTATCAACCCCAAGATTCCAGACTTCAACGTTCCCAAATGTCCTGCAATCAACTTATCCCCAAGTCAGCCTAAGAGTGACCTTCAAATAGAACAAACAAATAAGCAACTTTTTTTCTGTTTAAAGACAAAATACTTCCTTCACAAAAATTGCTGGTGGTGTATCAGTACAAGTGTCCATGTTGCAGGCATGATTATATTGGGTCAACGACCCAAACTGTAGGTACCAGAATTAAGAAGCTTGCGCAAAACAGTTCTTCCAACAACTCTGGAATTCTCAACCATCTACGCAAAGACTGTAATGAGAAACCTAAAATGGAACAGTTCAAAATAATAAACTTGGCGAAAGACAAATGGACACTAGGGGAAAAGGATGTGATCCTGATTTGTAACTTAAAACCAAAGTTTGAACAAACAACTAGCAATGGCATTACATCTCAAACTATGATAAACTTATCACTTCTGAGATAGGCAAAGTTAAGATTGAAAGTTTCATTGAATAACTACCATATACTTTATTCCTGTAAACCAATATACTCCAAAGTGAATGCATCTAATTTTCTACTGTTCAAATCAACCTACTCATTTCTAGATAAAACAACTAAATAATAGCTAGAAAAAACAATAGCATATAATTCAGAAATTTTCTTTACAGTAAATGATTCCTTTGAGATTTATATTGAGTAAATATACTCACCCTAAATCACAATTTCTGCTTCAATATATCTTTACATTCTTAAGATGGTTATATATAACTCATATAACAGTTGGAAAATTTGAGAAATCAAAACCGAAAGTGAATAAACAAACTCACAAAATGTAAACAGAAATGTTACAAATAGCTGCTCAGGATTAGCAAAAGAAATAGCAGCCTAATAGAGTTTAAAGAAACAGTAATATCACTATAAGCCAAGCAACAAACAGCTATAGTAATGACATATAAAACACAACATGAAAACAGTAAAAAACAATTCCTTTCAAAGCAAAGTTGGTTAATTTTTAGTGATAATTCAAATGGGAACCCTCAGTGGAGAAAGGTGGTAAAAAAACAAAAACAATAATCAATACTGTGGGATACAATTTGATAAAAACACTAAGAACCATAGTCACACATATCAAGTAATCAGTTTAGATGAAGAACCACAATCAAACACATCAAATAACCAGTTTAGATGACAGAAGATACAAATACTGAGGATCATAATAACTGATAAGTAATCAGTATAACAGTTAAAAGATGCAACTGATAAGAGCGAAACAAATAACAATGAAAACACAAACATAATAAATATAATTATTAGTAAGTACATACAACAAAAATCATATTCAAACAAAACATAAGAAATAACCAGTACAAATGTTAAGAATCACAGTAACAGCATGTTAAATCGTATACGAACAGGTGAAATTACCAAGAATCATACTCACAATTGATTAGAATAACTAGCAAATGTGTTAACATGAAAAACACAAAGAACCATAGATAACCAATTAGTAGATGCCAGTACCCAGAATCATACTCACTTATTAGAAATAACTAGCGAGTGTTTTAACGTGAAAAATACAAAGAACCATAGATAACCAATTAGTAGATGCCAGTACCCAGAATCATACTCACTTATTAGAAATAACTAGAAAGTGTTTTAACGTGAAAAACACAAAGAACCATAGATAACCCATTAGTAGATGCCAGTACCCAGAATCATACTCACTTATTAGAAATAATTAGCCAGTGTTTTAACACAAACATTTCCAGTGTTTGAGTACTCATTTAGTAGACATAAAACCAGTATTATTAGTATACTAGATATTATTTCACACAGAAAATGTCGAAACATCCAAGTACAACAAAGCTAAGAATGGGCCACACAGACATATTTTGTGTATACCCTTGAAAGTACACTTAATTATGAGAAGTGCAGAAAGCTACCTGACAAGGTAAGTACACAGCAGAAGAAACTATGAATATTCCATAACAATATATTCCTGTCTCAGTGTTACACCATTAGGTACTGTTTCATTTTCAGTCTCACAGATAAACTAAACAGAATAAAAGTATCCAGGGTTCTCAGAGTTAATGAAGTATAAAAAGATAAGAACAAATTAACTCACCACCTGAAATTTGACCTCATCGCTCACTTGGTTTGGACTCTGCACTGGCTGACGTTGATGAGCTTTTACAATTTGTTCGTAATTCCTATGAGCAACAAGTTCATAAATTTTAGCTTTTCATTTATCTAATGTTACTAGTTAACATACAGCATCAAATGTAAAAACATTTGATTAGAAAAACGTAAATTCCTGGTGTGATTTTTAAAACAAAAAGTACAAGGTTTTAGAAGCATAGTAAAAAATGCATGTCATACATAGCCATCTTTATAAATCTTTACATTTGCAATACTAAAATGGAGTTGTCAAAGGATTTATACATAGATTGCAAATAAATTATCAACTACCCTAGGCACTATCTTGTAAAAATTTAACTGCACACCAGTGAATACATCATGGCAGATGTAAACAGAAAGCAAATAAACATTTTATTATAGATTGTTGACAAAAAGTAGCTTTATAATATATTTACCTCTTCAACATCTAACCAATTACAAGTAATTGTTTTAAAAATTTCATTCTGTATTTGGGACTATTTTTTTTTTGTGTTTTCTTTCAGGTATTTGTTGTAAAGTAATTTGTTGAATAATATATTAATTCACAAATAGCAAAACTTCATATTATTTTCATTGTCCTTTCTCCAATCTCTCTCTTCATTTTACAAAAGCTTACTCTGACATTCATGAAGTAACTGGTTTTTTGGTGTGTTTTTTTTATAAAAGACACCAGAATAAACTGAATCAAGGAATCAGTTTCAATCTTCACTTAGAGTTCAGTTGTTATTGACTCCAGTACCAAGTGAATATCCTAGAGATAGGCACTGACCCCTAACGTGGAGATCATCTTTCTCAAAGAGAGTTAATTTATTGATGTTACCAGTGGTCTTCTGGCATGTACTGTCCTACTGATTTGCCATCTTTTGCTTTTCCAAGCTATACCACACATTACACTGTGTTTTTCAGCAGTTTTCCATGGTTACCATTTTCACCTTAGTAGTGCAGATGGAATTAATACTACACTGTGCCAATAGAGTTGTGTAGGATTTGATATAGGGTATTCTCCTATGAGCTTGTCAGCTTCCTTCTTTAGCCCTGCATGGTCTGGCATATACATCCAGGTGTTAGTTTCACCAAGCAGTTGCTTTGCTCTGCCACCATCTGTCTGAAGACCCAAGTGTTAGTTTCACCAAGCAGTTGCTTTGCCCTGCTGCCATCTATCTGGACACCCAGATGTTAATTTCACTAAGCAGTTGATTTTCCCTGCTGACATTTATCTGGAGACACAAGTGTTAGTTCCACCAAGCAGTTGCTTTGCTCCGCTGCTTTCTGTCTGGAGACCCAGGTGTTAGTTTCACCAAGTAATTGCTTTGCTCTGCTGCCATCTATCTGGAAACCCAGGTGTCAGTTTTACCAAGCAGTTGCTTTGCTCTGCTGCCATCTATCTGGACACCCACATGTTAGTTTTAGCAAGCAATTGCTTTACTCTGCTGCCATTTATCTGGACATCCAGACGTCAGTTTTACCAAGCAATTTCTTTGCTCTGCTGCCATCTATCTGGAGACCCATGTGTTAGTCTTACCAAACAGTTGCTGTGCTCTGCTGCCATCTATCAGGACACCTACATGTTAGTTTTACCAGGCAGTTGCTTTGCTCTGTTTCCATTTATCTGGAGACCATGGTGTTAGTTTTACCAGGCAGTTGCTTTGCTCTGTTTCCATTTATCTGGAGACCATGGTGTTAGTTTTACCAGGCAGTTGCTTTGCTCTGTTTCCATTTATCTGGAGACCCAGGTTTTAGTCTTAACAAGCAGTTACTTTGCTCTGCTTCCATTTATCTGGAGACCATGGTGTTAGTTTTAGCAAGCAGTTACTTGATCTGCTGTCATCTATCTGGAGACCAACTGCTGTTGATACTTAAGCAGTACTATTTACAAATCAGTTATCAACTGTGTTCTGTTATCAAAGTATTGTGAAATAATTACTCAGTAAGCATTTTGAATGAAAAGTAAACCTGTTAAAAATAATGGTTATTATATTAAAATCCTATTATTTGCTATAATCTACTTAAATCTGGAGTTATTTACTAATTATCCTTATCAATAATATAATTGGACAGTATTCACCACTAGGAGTGTCCCAATGCAAAAAAAAAAAAAATACTAGAAAAATCTAGAAAATTCAGGTCACTACTAACTCTTGCTCCTTCACTTCAGTTTGGAATCACATTCAAGTATTTAACATGAACAGTATTTACTCTAACTAAACCAGTCTTGACAAATTCACCATACATGATTCTTTCTAGTATTTGGTGATAAAATTTTGCATGTCATTAGGTTAAAAACATTCTCAAAAAAATTTAGATCTCAACTTACTCTTCTTCAACAAAATGTATAAGACTCTAATAAAAAAAAATTGAAATATACATTTTTCTAGTTCAGGTGATGTTTACTGGTCCTAGTTACTGTTTGTTATTAAGCAGAAAGTTACACAATGAGCTGTTATTTGTCCTTTTCTCATTGTGTGTATAAAAACCCAATTTTTAACATTATAAGCCTTCAAACTTGCAGCTGAGCCACTAGGGGGGCTCCAATCATTAAACTGCTGTTTACCAAGATTGTCACGATATCAACTTTGGGTTGTCCAAGCAGCTTTCACTCATAATTTTATTCACACTAATTTCTACCTTTAAGTATTATTAATGTACAATCACACCAATTTAAATTTTTAGTTTCATAAACTGGTCCCAAATTCTTATTGTCAAATTTTAGTTGTTTGTTACACTAAACATTTTATTTTCTGATTATCCAAATTAATCTTAAATAAAAACTTTTAATGATTCCAATTTCTGGCTGCACAAGCTCTGTTTACCAAGAGATTACTAAACCCATTTGTCACCTTACATAAAAGCTATTAACAAGTTTTTTTATCCTAATATCTGTCTGTCAAAGTGCTTTTTGGTAATTTTAATTTCTGGTTGTTTGGTTTTTATCTAGAATCCTACTTATCCTGATATTCAGTTGTCCAAATACTCTTGATCATGTGCCTTGCCAATCTTGATTTCTGACTGTCCAAGGTATATTTATTAAGAGTCACTGATCCTATTTCTATCTAAATGTTAGTGGTAAAAAAAAAATATTTATCCCATTAAAAAGTGTTTATTTTGAAATATACTTTTTAATACCATTAATTCTGTTTCCTAACTGTCCAAAGTCTGTTCAACAAATTTTTGTTACCAATTTCACTTCCTAACCATCAATATTTTTATCTGAAATCTCCATTTAGAAAGATAATTATTCAAATTTTGTATTGTCCAAAAGCTGGTTCTTTAGAAGTTCAGTAATCTCACTTACTGATTATCCAACTATGGTTAATCAAGAATTTCGATCTAATACTTGATTGTTGAAGTATTTTTAAACAAGATGTTTAAACAACATTACTGGTTCCAAGCATTTACTGTCCAACTTCTGTTTATCAAATTTCATAGTGATTCTAATTCCTGAATGTCAATATCTGTGTAACTATAATATTAGTGAACCAAATATGTGGTTAGCTCACAGATTTTGGTCAAAAATCTACTAGCTCAATTATTCATAGCTCAATTGCTGTTCATCAAGAATTTTGTTGATTGTACTTCTAGTTAAACATATCTTTCTATTGAGAAACTTACCAACTAATCCCAGATTCATATATTTAGTCTTAATAATCCTTATATCATCTTGTTGCTGTTCATTGCAAATCCTACTAATCCTGATCACTAAATATTTTCAGTTCTGTTTATCATGAATGTTACTAGATAGAATTTTTACTGTTCAAGAACAAAATACCAAGATAACCAATTCCTAAATATCTGGCTGTCTAAGAACTATTCATCAAAAATCTTCTTTGAATCCCAAATTTCAGTTCTACAAATGTTGTCTCTAAAAATTATTGTAATTTTGATTTCTTATCATACGATGTTGCTAACTTTTTACATTACTTTACAGAATATATTCATAGGTGTTACTAATTTACACTAATGATAAAAGTATACAAAATTTCTTACGCCTTCATAATCTGTAGAGCAACAACTTCTTTTCTTAAACCATTCAGTTCCTCTTCCTGTTTCTTTTTTTGTTGCAGCAAAAACTGTGTGTAGTCAATAGCTACAAAAATTATAATACAAGAATTTCATTTAACCAATGTGTGTGTTTCTTGGTTTACCAAAACCTCTTCAAAATTTTCTCAACAAATTATGAAAGTATATTAGTTACATCCACCTGCCTAAAAATCAAATAGAAATTACTAAAAATATTAGATATGCCATTAAAAACAGAAACTTTATATTGAATCTGTATTGAAAAATTCAAGTTAACTAAAATTTCAAATTTACTCTGTGTGCAGCTTCACATAAAATGGCAAGCCTTTAGTAAACATTACAAATACATTGTACTCATGAAATAACGTTTGTCTGTAAACTTACTGAGATAGTCTGACTCGTGTTAACAATTAAACATTTTTTTAATCTTATAATTTTCATATTTCATTGAAATAACCTCTAAAACCTCTTAAATGAATATCAAAAGATTTTTCTGTAAAATTTTATAATTTATCTCTTGTTTTCTCTACCCTTACAATAACAAGCAAAATCACCTGTATTGAAAGTTGAAAAATATGAAATAGAATCAAAATTACCTCTATTTTCTCTTACTATAATGACTGCAAATGTTAACAGACAATTACAATTATTTATCTTAAAAGCTATGAGCATCTTAACTTTTCACAACTGCTTTCATTTAATTTCATTGTATTATTGTTCTTTGAACTGTGTCTAACTACCATGAATAACAATAAATCACCTAGTGGGAGTGTGAAGAGTTTAGGGTAAACAAAGTTTCAGGTTATACATCATGCTACTAACTATGTATGTTCCTCAGTTACTTGAGGCATTTTTTTTTTCCATTTAAGTTTTCTTATCTTAACTAATAAGATTTTGATTTTTACATTTTAGTTACTTTTGTTGAAAATATACATCAATAAATAAAATATACATAAAAACAAGGAATTTACCACTTACTGATGCTTATAGGCCTACATGCACACCAGCACCTACTTTGCTGACACTACTTTTTTTTCCACACTATGTTGGTTATCCAAAAAATAATTCATATAGATTTGAAATATGCATTTTGAAACAAAAATAATAATTCAAACAGCAAAACAGAATGCCCCAAAACTACTGTAATTTACGTGGCTTTCTACTTTATCTATAAATATGTTAAAAAATTTCATTACTTACCAGAGTGCCGACTTCAGTCTACACTCAAAAATATTTGCTTGATAAATGTCACCTTTTACCGAAATAAATATAAAGACATCCTGAACATGTAGTTCACAAAATGGCTTTTCTATTAGTTATAAACATGTGCCACTAAATAATTAATTTCAAAAGCATGAAAAGCTGGGAGAAGCTTCTACAGTGGGTGTAACAAACTTAGGGATAGCTCAGAAAATAAAGGTGGGAAGTTCTTATTTTAAATTCTGACCTGTCAGTATCTATAGTTGGTGTACCTAATGGGAGGACATTCTAAAACACATATAAGGGAAGAAAGAAAATTTAAAACTGAAAATTCAGAGCAGAGCTATCACAAGACACAGAGAAAACTGAAGATTTATTTAAATTTTATTTTTAAAATTTGAATTATAAACTAAGTTTTTCTGCCAATTTTATTGACGTATATTGAAAACAAAAGTTGTTTAAATTCTGAATGTACCTCTAAAATAGAGCATCATATGCACCCTTCAAATAAAAAGTTTTTAAAATGATGGATAAGAAAACATTATGCTACTACATACCATTACTGAATATTACACAGTGTCTGATTAAGCTACTGATTTTTCTCTCACTAACTGGAAAACATTACTAACATCAACACATTAACAATGATTAACACTCCAAGAAGTCCCAAATATTTCTAACAAAATATATGAAAATGAGTTGAACATTTGAATTTGGAAATATGTATTTAATGGAAATGTTTCAAGTCATTAGGACTATTTTCCAGTAGGAAACTTAGGAGAGATTTGAGGATTGAATAAAACATAATAATAAACACATGCATTAAACCATCAGATACAAGATCCCAAGGGTTCATGTGTATCCACTGCTAATTTCAAATTATCATCCTAATTGTGAGCTAATAGACCAGAGGGAAGGAAGTAAATCAGCAGTATCCACTGTCACAAGGACTATGTCAATCTGAATAACAGAAGTAACTGTCACTCTTATAACACACTCAGAGTTAACAGTGTGAAGCACATTCAGCAGCACATCACAGTGCAAATCTACAGCCCAGTTAGTTAACCACTACACCAAGCCTAACACATAACTAAATTAGATGCTTTAGTGGTTAACAATTCCAATGTTATCTGGTGAGTTTGATTCATTAAAGAACACAAAGCAAGCAAGAATCAAACTAATGAATATCTGAAGTTTGTATTTTGTTTCATAAAGTGGTGAGACTTCATCTTTCAATTAAATGTATACACATATAGCACAAATATATCATCATATATGTATTTAATAAAAGCTAAATCAGACCATTAAAATTTCTACTTTCTTTGTAATAAGCAAGGTGTTTCCCCCTTTTTTTTAACATACTTACATCTCTGAAGTACTGTTGCTTTGCTTAACTTGTAACTTGTTGTGTTATCTTGTACCTGGCATGTAGGCACCAAATTCTGAAGCTCTTCATACCCTTTCTGTGTGAAAAAATTAAAGTACCATACTAATTCTTATATAAAGAAAAATAGGAGTTTTCATTATTAAAAATACCTACAATCCTGAATAGTTTTTCTAAGATAAAATGAAGGCTCTTTGGTAGACAATAGAAATATCATGATAGTCTACAGTAAAAAGTATCAGGCACATGAGTATTTAATGATGATGTCAAGACATTGTGAGTGATGTTTCATTACAACTATAATAATTTCAGATGACATTCTCTCAATTTAAGAGGTTTAAACAAAGCATTTCAACTGTTGTGTGATGATCCATAGCTAACAATAATTATTTACAACTAATATAAGACATTCCACAAGACTTAAGGCACCTGATAAAGTACACATTTCCTACTAACTAAAGTTTACAGAAAATCTGAAAAAGACAAAAATTATAATGAAAGAATAAACAAATATCTAAGAGCTTCTACAAGGGCAAAAAGGTGATGCGGGATATTTTCCAAAAATTCAAATGAAAGTGTCGAGGAAATGAAAGATGCCAAAAACACCATGGTATGTTTCATATACATAATAATAGCTCTAGTAAAAAAACAAGCAAACCTATGTTATTCTACTAAATCTGCTGATGTTATTCTTGAATGTGAGATTTCACATGAACTTATGATGGTGTTTTTTTTTTGTTGTTCCATATGATGTTCTATCAGACCAAAACAGGATGTTACAGACCCTAATTTTGATATATATACCATGTTTGATACGACTTATTGAAGTTGTTCTAGTTAAACAAGAATCTAATTATCAACACCAGGCTTTACCTGATTAGTTCTTATGTAAAAGTAATTTGCAAAATTTTAACCTCTCCTACCACATGGGTTTTATAGCAAAAATTTATGTATTACAATTGTTAGGAATGATCTCCGTACTTTTCTTTTAAATACCTATTTCATTATTGTAGTAATATAGTCAAACCACACTTTCCTTTTTGAAAAGTTCTGAAGATATATAAACTCAGAAAAAGTGGCATTCAAGTGACACTGCTACTAATTAGACAAATAGCTAACCTTCCTAGCAATTGGGTCTAAAATTTCTTTGTTATCCCATTCCTCATTTCAATGCTTTTTTTCAGTGTAATAAATGACCACTCTTTAAGCTGCACTGCCTGTAATGAAGATTTTGGGTTAAGTGTAGAAAATCTGTTTGGCAAGCAAAAATATATTTTTTAAAGTTTCTCAGTTCTTCTCTTTTACAAAAAAGTTAAAAGAAAATCATATAAAAAATGAGAAACCCCACACAAATGTAAACTTGAAAGAGAAAAAAAAAATTCAACATATCTATCAAACATACCCATGCTACTTTGGCTGAAGTTAAAAGAACTTGGGGGAAACTGTTAAAAAGAACTTTTCAGCCTCCAGCATGGTACAAATAAACTTGTATACAGTCACAGACTGAATGACTAACCTTTATTGCATCTCTACGTTTTTGTTCTGCTTGTGTGTGGGCTTCTCTTCTCCTTTCCTTGTAGCTTAAAGTAGATTTGTTATCACTGTCCTCATCATCTAGCAAAACAAGGTAAGAACTTTCAAAGGACTAAAACCTAACTTCTTTATTAAATAAATTACTCAGCAGTAGCTAGCTACAAATAATAAGCTTCAACTACAAGGCAAAGACTAACACTGTTAAGAAAAACATTTTACATCAATAACCATCCAAGTGCAAAAAATAATCTATACCGTGATGCAAAACCAACTAATCAGGTACCTAACAGAAAGACCTTAAGCCTCTTACAAATGGATGAGTAAGTAATGAATGTTACTCGTTAACAGCCAAAATATTTCACCCATTCCACAGAAAAAATCCTAGAATTAAAAAAAAATAACATAAGCTACAAATATGATGAAATACATGATACCAGGAAAAAGCTGTATCAAGTAAATTAATATAAAGACTACAAATAATGAATACTAAGACAATTAAATGACTGTTTCTGCCGAATCCTTTGTGTAAACTGTTTGAGTCAGAAAATTAATGCACATCGCAAAGCTGTATTAATAAGGTTAACCTTAACTTACAATATGTTGCCATCACCAGTCACTGTTAAAGCAGTTTTATCAACTATATTTTAAATTATATTTAGAAATATCAAACCTTTTCTTTTTGCTTTAAATCTTATGAAATAAAAAATATGTGATGGTGGGATAAAATATTGTTAGTTTAAAGCTTTTTTTTTTCAAATCATTGACAGTCAGCTACAGTAAAATTTCAAAATCTAGTACTCACACTGCAACTTAAATGTTTGTCTTTTTCTTTCTCGCTTTAAGAGCATTTGTTTAATGTTTTTTTTCAGTTAAACAATAGGTTTAGTTATTGACACATTTAATAAAAAAGTGCATAAACACTTTTAATTAGTAGCAGAAATGCCTCAGCTACAGTAAATCACACAAGATGTAAAAACCTCAGCTAACACATCTGTCATGTGTACAGAAAATTACCTTGTCAAATGCAATATATACAAGCTTAATAATATATATATATATAATATATATATATATATATAGTAGTAGTAGTAGTAGTATATATATATATAGTTAGTTAGTTAGTTAGT